AGTTTAAGACCAGTTGTACGGTAATACTTTCAAATGAAAAAATGCAACGTGTTTTTTTTATTAGATTACATTTTATTTTGATGGTCCCCTTTAGTCTATTGACTATAAGCAACTTTGCAACTACATCAACTAACTCTCAGAGTATTAGTAGGCTTAGTTAAGGTTAGGGTTGGTAGAGTAAGTTGATGTAAAGTTGCTTATAGTGAGTAGAATATCTGTTGGGGAACCATCAAAATAAGTGTTATCAGATATTTAGCATACAGTCTACTAATACTCTGATGACTGCTAGTTGACAAGTAGTCGCAGAGTTACTTATCAACAGATGTCTGAAGGCTACCATCAAAATAATCAAATTGATATTACAATAAAAATAGTTCAAAGCAAATGTGTACACATTCATCTGATCTGATATCAGATCTTATGGCTGTTTGAGAAAAATTATTATTATTATTATTTATAAGTGGTCTTTGTCTGCTTTAAGTACAGTGAAGTTACTTCACTTAAAGCAGACAAAGAGCACTTAATAACAATAAGACCACATTAAAGCATTTTGGAATGTTTTCATGAAGACTTTGTATTTGTTATTTTACAGTAAAAACACAAATAAGATGTACTAAGTTATTGTGCAGATCTTAAACAATGGTAAGATATGAGACCTATAATACATTATGACTATGAGAAATATAATCCACTGTAACTTAAGTGGATGCAATGTGTTCATTGTGTGTTATAAATCATCATACACTTAACATACCTCTGCACTTCATCTGTGAAGCTCAGTTGTGTTGGTGTCCTGTGCAGCACTCCTCTCAGATCGGCAAACAGGACAGTTGTTCCTCACTGTCGAGGTTGACAGGCACTCGGGAAGAGGTTAGCTTATGAGCGCTTCCCGTTGAGTACACCCTATGGGCAAACCATGGTGCAAAAACATTTGTTGATACATTTAAGATAAAGATACCATAATTTGCAGCATAGTTAAAAGATACTGTTAATATTATTCCTAATTAAGGCCCTTGGTGAACCTTTACTGTGAGTTTGTTTGTAATGATGATTAAATGTCAACAACCCAGTACCACTAAATGCTCCTC